AATTATAAAAAATAAAAAAGGATGAAGTCTAAGAGTCTCCTCTTGGATTGAAAGAAGGTATCTCACCTAGTTGTGATTCACATTTACTTAAAGAGAATTTTTTCATGGAAGAATCATACAGACCTGAGTGTAGTAGTACTCACCTATAATCCCAAAAGCTGGGAAGCTGAGGCAGGAAGATCGCCTCAGCCTCTGGTCCTGCCTGGGCTATGGAAGGCCAGCCAGATTACACAGCAAGACCTTGTCAAAAACTGTCTTGATGTGGGAGCTGGAGACACGGCTCTTGCAGAGGATCTGAGTCCAGTTCCCAGAGGCCACATCAGGTGGCTCACTGCTGCCTGGAACCCCAGTTCCAGGACTTCACATGGCCAGCCTTTGGCCTCCAGGGACACCTACACACACGGTGCATATAGCCACACGCAAGCACAGGCACACATACATTTTTTAAATCTTGATGTGAGTGGAAACATTTTTCATTCCTCTTTAGCCCAATACAGTGAAAATAACAAGCTGACACACGAACTTTTCCTTTTTTTTTTTTTTTCCATTTTTAACCCCCAGAATTGTATAATCAGGCGGGAATCAGGAAGTAAAAATAATCACAAAATTAAACCAAGTGGTCTGTTTCCATAACTCCACCAGGAGTAAAAAAAATGATTTAAAAAGATAAACACATCATTAGGTTCATCACACTTAAGAATTCTTTCCATGGGGGTCATAACGACAACGCGGTGGAGTCATCACTCAGGTTTTTAGTGCTGTCCTTTAAATCTTGAAAGTGTGGCAGAAGCAAAATACCCCAGGCTGGCCTCGGGCTCTGCCTCCCAGGGGCTGAGACGACGAGCTGGGCTCCGGGCTCGGCATTGTCCCCGTTTGCTTCAGTAGCGTCTCCCCGGGCGTGTTGCTGCAGGTCAACCCTGAGAACCTTCCATCCTGCAAGAGCAAAAGCTCTGAGGTGTGTCCAGCAGGAACTGCCCACTCCTCCCTGCTGGCACCTTCCCCGCTCATTTCTGTCTTCCTGATGTTGACCACAGGCACCTTGCAGCTGGCGTGGTGTGTCTTTTCCTGAATGGCTTCCTTCTCTCAACGTCCACCGGGCTCACCCGCGTTCCTCCGTGAGGTCGGACGCTGTCCTTTCCACCTGCCCTTTCTGTGTCTCTTCTATCTGTAAACTTTTTAACAGTCAGGCCCTAGTACTCCAAAAGTAAATGTCCCAAAGATCGTATCTATCGCGGTGACCCAGCGAGTAATTAAGTTATGGAAAAACAAACCAAAAGGCACATTCAGTTCTCTAAAATGCCCAGAAATCAAGAGAGATTTACAAAGTGACTCAACAGTGTAGAACTTCCTCATCTCAAAAACAGCCATCAGGCCTGAAAACCCTGTAGTGGGCCCCTGGAGTCAAGGGTTTCAGTCGCTTTCTGCACAGCGCTTGGCCCACTCAACTGTTTTGGAAGCTCCTGGCACTGGGTGTCTTCCCTTCTGTGGTCACTCTTCTGTTTGTGGAGTGCACTCCCCTTTCTGTCATGCCAACAGCCTCGTGTCCCATCCTTCATCAAAAGGGAGAAGCACCAGCCTAACAGTAACAATTGTTTAAAAGAAATGGACCCTGAGCAGAGCCAAAGAAACACACTTTGGCCCTGCAACCAGAACCAAAGAAATACACCCTGACCCTAAAACCAGTGCCAAAGGAACACACTTTGTCCCTGGAATCAGAGTCAGTGAAAGAAATGCATCCTGGCCCTAAAATTGGAGCCAAATGGCTAAAAAGGACCAGAGAAAGAAACACACTTTGGCCCTGAAACCAGAGCCAAATCTGACCTTAATCCTGTGTAGAAGAGTAACCAATCCTTGAGCAGAGCTCTAGCCAATCTGAGCTCAGCACTGAAATTGAACCAATCCCTACCCTGAAAAACCTTCCCGCCCCCAAGAATCCCTTTATAAACCCTGTGTATGTTCGTTCAGCTTGGCTGGTCCAGCTGCCTTCAAATGAACCCCTTTGGATGAGCTTTGGGTGAAGATCTTTTGCAGCGGGCGATGGAGCAGAGGCGACCCTGGGCAGAGCAGAGCAGAGCAAGCAGAGCAGCAGCGCTGTAACACTTGCCCGGGAAACCTTCCCTTGGCAGAGCTGAGTGTAACAACTCCGCTCCTGCTCTCTGCTCTCCAGGAGCAGAGCTGAACTGTAGCAACTTCGCCCCGAGAAACCTCGAGCAAAACTGCTACACTAGGCGAACATCCCCAGCTGGAAGACCCTGTCCTGCTGGAGCGGAGCCGATACACCGGAGAAGCCTTTCTCTGAGGCAAGGCTGTAAGCTGCTAAGCTTACTGCAACCTGTGGTGGTCCTTGGCTCCGGAGCTCCAGGATACCTTTCCACCTGAGCTGTGTAACACTCAATATCCTTGGCTCTGGAGCTCCAGGATACCTTTCCACCTGAGCTGTGTAACACTGAGTATCCTTGGCTCCCGAGCTCCAGGATACCTTTCCACCTGAGCTGTGTTAACACTCAGTATTGTGTGACTCCCAAGTGCCAGAATACCTGACCCACTCCTGTTCCATCCTGTCCCGACCCATCCGGAAACGCTTACAGAAGCATCAGCCTAACAGTAACAATTGTTTAAAAGAAACAGACCCCTACTTTAAGCAGAGATCCAACAGGACTCCTCCTCCCCAACCTGCCCCATTTATTTGTTTGTTTATTGTGAGCGATGGGCCTGTGTATTATGGCACTCCTGTGGGGGCCAGAGGACAATTTCACTTTTTCTAGTGTGGGGTCTCTGGGGGTCATGCATGAGTTTAGCCACAAGCACTCTTACCTGCTGAGCCGTCTAGTTGGCCCCCAATCTGTTGAATGTTGTGTAACCATCACTACATTCATTTCTAGAATATTTCACCACCCCCAAAAGAAACCCCACATCCAGTAGCAATCACTCCTGCTTGTCCTGCCCCATCCCCATTGTCGTCTGCCCCCCTGCCCGTCCCCCATCTTGTTAAGCAGCCACTAACTTTCTGTCTGTATAGATCAACCTACCCTGCACATTTAAATAATAGAAATATATGGCTTATGTTTATTAATGCAGTGTACACATACCACAGTGTGTGTTTGGAAGTCAGAGGGTGACTGTGTAGAGTCAGTTCTCTCCTTCCACCTCCATGTGGGTTCAGGCATTCCAATTCACACCTTCAAGCCTCTTTTTTTTTTTTTTTTTTTTTTTTTTTTGGTGGGAAGGGGTTTCAAGAGACAGTTTCTCTGTATTGTTTTGGAGGCTGTCCTGGAACTCGCTCGGTAGTCCAGGCTGGTCTCCAACTCACAGAGATCCTCCTGCCTCTGCCTCCCGAGTGCTGGGATTAAAGGCATGGGTCACCATGCCTGGCCCCTTAGCTACTTTGGCTATACATTTCAGGGAAGTATATTGACTTTGTTGTGCAGTCCAGACCTCTCTTCCTCCTGCAGAAACTGTGTAGCCATTAAATTACAAGTCCCTGCCTTACCCTCACACCACCCTGGGCAGTTGTTCTTTCTATGTACGAGTGATTCTTCTAGGTACCTGTCGTAAGTGGGATCTCACAACATTTGCCATTTTCCGAATGTCTTATTTCACTTAGCAGGTTGCCCTCCAGAGCCTCCCCATCTGTGTCACTCACGCTCTAGGACATGGCAGGAGTTTTGTCCCGCCTCCTTCCATGGGGTCAAGCATTCCTTTGAGTGGTTTTACTAGAGTTTGTCTCTTCATCCACAGACAGGCATCTGAGTTGCTCCTACTTTGTGACTATGGATGAAGAACGTTGCTATGAACATTCAGTTTCTATGTGGCGTGTTTTGGGTTCTCTTGAGTATATACCTGAGGCATGGCATTTGAGTCATATGATAACTCCATGTTCAGCTTCTCAGCGAGTTGAAAACTGATTTCAAAGCCACCTTCTCACCATTTGAACATTGAATAACGGTTAGGCTTTCTCACATTGTTGCCAGCATGCCTTGTGTTTTGTTTATGTTTGTGGGGGAATTGATGTTTTTGACTTGGGTTCCTGGTTTCTTACTTTGTTTTGTTTTTGCAAACAAGGTCTCATTTCGCCCAAGTTAACTTTGAACTGACCTTGAATGTTGACGATTTCTGCCTCTACCTTCTCATCACAGGCTTGGGCCACCAACCCAGGCTGCCAACTCTTGTTAGTTTATTTTTCGTACCTAGGATAGAACCTGTAGAACAGTGTCAAACAGAAATTTTGAGCTTGGGTGTTTTTGTTCATCTTTCATTGTTAACTATGATGTGCATCGTGCATGGTTGGTAGACATCTTAGATTGGGAAGCGCCTTTCCTTTTTTTTATTTTTAAAACATTCATATTTAACATACCAATCCCATTTACCTCTCCCTCCCATCCTCACACTCCCCTACCATCTCCCCATCCCACCCCTCATCCTCAGAGAGGGTGAGGCCTACCGTGGGGAATCATCAAAGTCTGTCACATCATTTGGAGCAGGACTGAGGTGAGGCCCTTCCTCCTGTATCTAGGCTAAGAAAGATATCCCTGCATAGGGAATGGGCTCCAAACAGCCAGTTCATGTACTAGGGATAAATACTGGTTCCACTGCCAGTGGCCCCTTAGACTGCCCAAGCCACGCTCAGGGAACCTAGTTCAGGAAGTGCCTTTCTAATCCCTAGTGTTTCACTCCTAAAAGGGTGTGTTGAGTTTTTTTTCTGCATCTGTTGAAATTGGGTCTTGGTGTCATTTATTCTGTTGTTGGGTGTGTGCGTGCATGGGATCTGTGTGTGTGTGGATATATATAATATATATACATATGTACATATATATTATATATATACATACATATACATATATACATACATACATATATATGCTACTGATTTCCACCTCTGCCCAGTGAGACCCAGTCCAGCTCTGTCCACTCTGAGCCCTTAAGGGTGGCACCTCACAGAATTTCTGAATCCACATATGCACAGCAGCCCCCTGGGGTGACTGGTACACTACACATGCAAATACTTATGACCCATGGTGTTATTTGAAATCAAGTCATTCCATTCTCTTGCTTTTACAAGGAGCAAAGGGGCATCCTTTGGTGAGAGTCAGTGTCCCCAAAGAGCCTGTCTCTGTGACAGGTCAGCAGTCTGGTGACCTTGAGCGGCTCCGCCTCTGTTCCCAGCTGTAGGCAGGCGCTGGTTGCTCGGTAGCAGAGGCTGAGCAGCTATTCAGTCAGGCAGTCCTTGGCAGTGGCTCTGGGGAGTCTATTAGCATCTCTCCTGAAGTCAGATTGCGGGATCTCTCAGAAGGATGGTAGAGGAGGCGAAGCCAGGAGATGCCTGAGAGAGAAGCTACAACGGGAGACACATCGACGCTGGTGGGGAGCTCTTTGTGGGCTCGTGTAAGCGTATAGAGCACACATACACAGTTTAGTGTCGTCCCTTCTCCCCTGGCTACTTTCCAAACAAACACACACACACACACACACACACACACACACACACACACACACACAGAGCAATGTAGAGCCCCCCCAAGTCTGGAAAATCTTTCTGCTGGGACATCAGTTGCTTGCCTTGTAATGACAGGTTTCGTGGTTTTCTATCTCTGCATTCCACTGGGACCATCTACCCAGAGGCCACACCCCACTGACCTGTACAACCAAAGCCCAAGACCAAGCCTGAGAACCCGGGCCCTGTGGAGCTGGGAGAGCTGCAGTCTGTTTTGTTTCAGTCTGACTTGCTGTGAGCCTCTGGCCATGCTACCCACCCTCTCCACAGTTCAGGGCTCCAGATTATAAAACAGGACTGATGGTTCCCGTCTCCTAGCAATGTAGGGAGAACAAAGTAAATTACAGTCTTCAAGTGCTTATGCAGCCTGGAGACAGGGGGCTCCAGACGTCCAGTGTTTTCTCTTGCTTTGGTTGAGATGGTGAGGGTTTTATGGGCTCTCTTATGCAGTCCTTAGGAAGCATTTAATCAGAGAACAAACTGAGAAAAGGCGAGCCTGCTTTCGCAGGAGAGGACCTGCAGGTCTCCCTTCCACGGCTCCTTCCAGAGAGGCTGGGAGAACCCATCTGCAGTGACTGCTGGCTGGCAGCCTGCGGTGAGGTGGAGCTGATGAGGTGACTTGTTTTGCTAACTTCTGCTTTCCCTTTCCAGTCTGATCTGTTTCTGGGTCACTAATTGGATGGGTCACAAGTTATGGGAGAAAATACACCATCCAGCTGTTCAAGGCTGGCAGTTGGACAATCTATTGATCAGCCCGGCCTGGCAGCAGGTGAGAGGAGAGCTGTGAGGTGGGAGGGGGTGGGGGAGAGCATAGCCTTGTTACCACTGTATGTGACCATTAACCCACGGCTGTCCAGATCCAGTCCCTGTAAGGTTCAGGAGGTGGAGGGCATGTTTCAGTTTCCAGTCTGGTCCTGACGTATCCCGTGCTGAAGAATGAACCGTGGGTTTCTTGTCTTCATCAGAGTGCCTCGGGTTCTGCTTTTAACACTGGATTTGTCTCCTAATCTTGCTGTACAAATTACATGAAATTTGATGGCTTGAGACATTGTCTTAAATTTCTAAGGCCAGAAATCCAAAGTGGTCCTACCAACCAAAGGTCAAGGTGTCTGCTTGGCTGTGGTCCTTCTCGGGGCTCTGAAGGGCCTCCATCTTGCTTTTCCAACTTCAAGAAGTTACCACATTCTTGGCTTGAAGCCCCTTCCTCCATCCTCAAAATACAAGGGTCCCTCCCTAACTTGGAGCCTCCTTCTCTGGCTATGCGATGAGTCATGACGAGGTTTGGCCACCGCCCGGCCTATCTTTTTTTTCTCCATCTCTCTCTTATATTTCTTCCCTGTACTTTTTCTTTGCAAACTTTCTATTTTGCTTTGTTTTAGTCTGTCTGGGTCTCGGTGTAACTCCAGGCCAGCCAAGAAGTAGTGTCCCTCCTTCCCGAGGTCACAGATGTGTGTCCCCAGGCTTTAGGGACCTCTAAGAGGCTTCGGGGATGGGAGATTATTTCAGGGCAAGAGCCTCAGGACCAGTCCATAGATTATTAGTCTTAGGGACTTTCCCTAGAACAGAGGAGTGTCTGAGGTTGGGGACTGTGGTCACTGGAAAGACAAAAAGTTCAGGAATGGGAAGGAGAGGAACCCAGCATACCTGGGCTGTGAAAGCCTCAAAAGGGGCACAATGGCTGACATGCTAATGTGACCTGGGTGTCCGTCGCCCTGATTGCAGGGCGACTTCACCGAAGACTTCACCGAAGCCCCACCACGCCACACTTCCCATGCCTTCTTGCTCTTATTTTTAGTTTGGGGTATCTTCTATTGTTTGAAGGTTGCCTTGCAACCCGTTTGCCTGGAGGCTTTAAACAATATAGAGTTTCTTTGCTGAGCAGCAACAGTAGCCCAGAGAGACCGAATATAAACTTTTAAGTCTATTTTCTCAGAGTTTGTACATCAGCGATGGCTTTAAACAGAGGAGCACGCATGCCCCTGACTTGCCTCTCCTGGGGGAGGGCAGAAGGGCGGCTGGTGGAGAGCACTGTGAGTTCTTATCGTCTGTGCTAGCGCAGGGACAAGCACAGGGCAGGAAAACAAAACATCTGCTATTAATACACCCAAGTCCTCCAGCGCATGGGCTGGGTTTGATTACTTGTGAAAGGGAAAGATGCCCCCCTCTGACCTTCCAGAGCTCTCCTGCCAGCCAAGCCAGAGCTGCCAGAGGCAGTACCCTCCGTGATACAAAGGGGATGGGAACCAGGGCCTAGCTTTGGGCAGGAAAGAGGGGCCTCCAGACTTCTCCCAAGAGAAATGGGTTGCCCAACTCAGTGTGGCTGAAGCCCTGCAGCTTCATTCAGAATTAGGAAAGAAGAGGAGAGAAGGGGGAAAAGGCTCAGGCAGAAAACTAGACAGGGAAGAGCCAGAGGATGCCATCGCCGTGTTCGTGCCCAGCTCCAGGAACAGAGACCCAGGCAGCCTCTCCAGGACCCTCAACACCACCACTTACTTGGCAGTGAGCAAGGCTAAAAAACTGGGAAGGGTCGAGAATGCTATGCAGAACAGATACAAGGGCCCCTCGGCCCTTGCTCCTCCTAGTGACAGTGTCCAGGTTGGCAAGGGTTGCCTAGGTAACTGGTTAATGATAAGCCTTCAGCCGGCAAAGAGCCAGAGGGAAGGGATTGGGGTGGGTGGGGGCGGGAGCACATACGACACCTAGTCCAGAGGTTCCACAGTGCCATAACTGCCTAAAGAGGTCTCTGCTTGTCACTCACCAACGTCAGGCTGCTGCCTTGGGCTCAGGGAACATCTGACCAGCCAGGAGCCCCCAGCAGACACCAGGAGAACAGGGCAGTGCTAGCAGGGCCAGCCCTCTCCAAGAGCAAACAGGACAAAGGTCGTTGTACTCAAGCCGCCTCTCCCGTCCTGCCTGGCTCCTATGCCACATGCCTCAGGTTTCCCTGGCACGGTTACACCCGGCAGAAACCTGCCGCCTGTGCCTGTTGCTCCCCCAGACCTCACTCCCCAGCAGGGCACAGTGCCATCCTAGTGGAAGCGATAGTGTCTGATCATCTTAAAACACAAAAGCCACCATGTCTGGGCATGTTTAGTTGGGGAGCCATACTTGTTTGTGGGAGTATGTACGAGAGGGAAGAGTCTTCAACAAAAACCTGTTCCCTAGCCAGTCAGCAAAAGCAGCTCTCTGTGGGACAGGACTCACCAGGTACTCCTGAACTGACTGACAGTCTCCCACCGCCACCCGAGCTTGGATTTGTCTCTCCTCCAGCAGGTCCAAGTATCCGCTGGGCTTCTCTTCGAGAATTCAAATAAGTTGGAGGCCATGGGGTTTGCCAGGAGTAGGCAGGCCTGGCACTAGTTAGCCAGAGACAGAGCAAGAGAAAGCAGGCTTGGGCATTATGAATCGCTGAGGCCCTGGCCCACAGCCTTCTCACTGGAATGGGTATCGGAGAGCTGTTGTTTTTCCTTATTTGACTGAGGATGGCCTCAGCCCCTGAAATGATGGGCATCTAGCCACTAGCACTCACCAAATAACCTCACAGAGCCACACTAGGTGAATTTTTTCTGTTTATTTTGTTGTAGTGGTAGTTGTTTTGTTTTGTTTGTTTTTGGGACAGGGTCCCATGGAGCCCAAGCTGGCCTCAAACTCATTATGTAGCCCAGGTTGACCTTGATCTCCTGGGCCTCCTGTATCCATCTCCCAAGTGCTGGGATTACAGATGTGACCCACCATGCCAAAGGCGTCACCTTGTTTAACATCCCTCTGATACATATGAGTTAGGCACAGCACTAACACTCTCGATAGTGAGGCCAGAGGCTCAGAGATGTTGTGTGTGGGCCTGTGCACGCCGGGACTGTGACTTAGCCCCCTACTCTGCGAAGTCAGGAGGGAAGAACTGGAGGCAAGTCTCACTGTAGGCTGAGGTTGTGCACAGGCTTCTTAGAAGCTACGGCTCCTGATTTACAGTCCTCGACGCTGTCTCAGGAGGCTGTTTAACTTCTGAGGTGATAGATGAGGGCTGGGTCTCCTGTTTGCAGAGCACAGGGTGAAGGGTAAGTCAGGACAGTCTCTCTCCTCTGGTCCCGGTGGGCTCCAAAGACAGACTGCTGGGCTGTGTTTGAATCATCATTTTTAGGGCACTGGTACCAGCATAGCTGCTCGAAGCTCTCCCTTCCTCCAGCCACCCTCCCCGTGGAGAGGAGCCAAATGGGAGCATTCCCCACCCATTCCCCTTGACACAACCAGTTCCAGCTAGAAACCCAAGGCCCAATTAAAGCGTGGCTAGCGCATGTTTCTGTAGACATGGACATCTGAGGGGCACCTCAGGCACAGGGGTGTTCTGCATCCCTGATGTGACCCCCTCCCCCAGGAGCCAGCTGCCTGAAACACCTTACTCTACAGACTGGAATGGGCGCAGCAGCTTGCTGGGAGAGTGGGGAGAGGATGCCTGGGGTTGGAACTTTTGTGTTCAGGACTTTCACTTTAAAAGTCTCTTAGAGAAACCAGGGGAGGGCCAGCTCTGAAAGGGAAACTTCAGCCCAGTATCTCATCCCAGTCAGTGAGCATGTCACCAGCTGCCCCAGAGTCACTTAGGTTGCTCTTGCCCCTTCTTTGGGCATGCAGTGCTGATGGAGGACCCTGCTGTCCCCAGGAGCCACAAGACCACAGTCTAATGCCCCAGCCAGCCCGTCGCCCTTGTCCACACAAGGAAAATAGCACTCAACTGGCCCGGGGCCCCAGCTCCCCTGTCCCTGTTTCCTGATGTCCTCTGGTTAATATGCAGCTCAAATAAAGACACCAAGGACTGTTTGGCAGTGCAGAGAACGCCGGCAGTTTCCCAGGTGCGGGCCAGGAAGCCCTGGACTCAGCCCGGGATCTCGGGGGCCTGTTTGTGTTTTCTGCCATTTGTAGCCTTCCTCGTGGGCTACAGAGGATCCCCACCCGAAAGCTGTGGTAGATATCTAGGTGAGGTAACAGTGAGGTGGTTATTAATCACGGGAGGCATGCTGAAGCCTGAGGTGCCTTCCCGGAAGAACCTTAGCTCTCCTTTCCAAGAGGCCAGATCCACAAGGTCCCCGCTCTTCAAGTCCTACCCTCCCCCCTCCATCTTCTCCAGGCCCTGGAAACTGTCCTGGTGCCTGTCTCTCCACTCTCACCATCGTCTGTACTACGCAACCCCAGGACCTTTGGATATGACCTTGAGACGACCCTAACACTGGGAAACCCGTGTCGGACAGCCTCCTCGTTGCCACTTGGTCTAAACCCGACACCACAACGGGGGCTGGAGGCCCTCCTAGGACTTGCCCATTTTCAAGGTCTTGGTCACCTTTGTCACCTCCTGCAGGAATTCCCATTGCCAGCGGAACCGCTTTTTTGAAGCCCGGCGACATGACAGGTTGAACTTGAGATCTCTGGACAAATGTTTCTCACTTAATCCTCCCTGAGCTGGCCTCAGGTTGCTTAGCCAAATTTATCGGACACCACTAGTGCCCACAGGAAACATTGCCTTTGTTCCAGGCATTGTGTTTGGATGTGGGAGTCCAGGGTAAACAAGGTGAAGTCCCTGTCCTTGAGGGCAGACTGTTGGGAGAAATGGTATAAAACAAAGGACCCACCCGCTCCTCCCAGACACCACCATCCACCCCTGCTCTCCATACCCCCTCCTCTTACTCCACTGCCGCTTGTAGCTTCCAGACTAAATCTACAAGGGAGGGTTACTGGAGTCAGAGGTGGTGACTCAGGTCTGGAAACCCAGCACTGTGGAGGCTGAGGAAGGAAGACCATGAGTTTGAGCCCGGCCGGGGCTAGAGAGCATAGACAGTGAGCCCTTACTGCAAAACTGAATAGAAAGAGGCTGGCAAGATGCTCCACAGGTAGACACTTGCTGCCAAGCCTGATGACCTGAGTTCGAGTCCCCTGAGCCCGCATGGTAGAAGGAAAAGAACGTACTCCCAAAAGCTGTCTTCTCGTCTCCATACATGCTCTGTGGCATATGCAGATCCAAACACATCCACAAGAATTTTTTAAAAACTAAAGTGGGC